CAACCTTATAATTTAAGTCGGTATAATCTAAAACTAGTAATACTAAAAGAAGGTTAGGTTACATTGTCAAAAAATTTGTGCAGTCAACTGATTTTATATTTGTATTTTTGTATTGAATTCATTATTCACTTAATTATTAAATATTTAAGCATCATCCATCGACCCATCAGTGTTAAAAAGATTCCAGAGAAAAGTTTTTTCTTTGTAATTCCACGATAATAGTGTTATTTTTATAAAGAAGTAAGAAAATAAGAATAGAATGCCGATTACATTAAAAACAGGACTCTTATTTCTTACTTTGCTTAATTTTTTAGTTTGTGCACAAGCTAGTTCTACAATGAACCGAGAAAACAATGCATTTACTATTTCCGAACGTGTCGATATGGTGTTAGTGTATGGTGCAGCCGGAGAAAATGCGCTCGTGGCAACTAGGTTGTACCGGGAACGATCGCCACAACGTTACCCCCCATGTGCAAATACAATCCTACAGTGCGTTCAACAGCTGCGAGATACGAGAAGTGTAAAACCTCGAGGAGAAGGATGTGGTCAGCAAGTGAATCTTAATGTTGCAGATGCAGTGTTGGAAAATCTTGACAAAGACCCCACAATTAGTACTCGACCACTCGCACAGCAAGTAGGAACCTCATCTCGTACCGTACATCGCATGTTAAGGCGCCAGCTGTTGCATCCCTATCATCTGCAATCAGTTCAACAGATTGTGATCAACGAATGCGTTTTTGCAGATGGTTTTTACGGCAATGTGCCAATCAAGTAGACTTTAATCTTTGGAGTCACTTGAAGTCATTAATTTACAATACTCCAATTGCTATGGTGGAAGAATTGTGAAACCGTATACTTGAAGCTGCTGACACAATTAAGGGAATACCTTGAATTTGTGAAACTATTCGCCAAAATTGGGTGTGTAAATAGAACTTTTTCGTATAAGACTTTTCTATTACAAATATCGTTTGGAAGCTGAAGTTTAATTTTTATAGATTATACACGCCACACCCTGTATACTAATTTTTCTCATTTTTTTTCCAACACACTATTAATTTTGTTGGTGGTTGGACTTTAATAAAATGAGAATTTCTTTACCTTTAAATATTCTAAATTGCTGCTGCAATTTTGTAATTTCAATTCACATCGTGGTTTTCAAAATCTTCATTGTGAAAAGTAAATTTAGATTAGTTGTTCAGTTGGTAAAATAAATTCAATTCCTTCAAGTTACAATGTATTTATAAAATAAAAATAAATAATATTGGAAAAGGTTAACAACGTAATATAAACATTAATTACAGTAAAAATAACACTATGTTGTACATAATAATATAATCTTATAGAAAAAACATTTTTAAAAAACACTAAGAGTATACACCCTGAATCAGAAAAATGATAAAATGTTTATGTACAGTATAATAGATGTTTTCCACATCGATTGAGTATTCTTCACAAATATAATTACACATATATTAGTTAAGATGCAATATGCAACAATACTAAAAAACACATAGGTGCATACATTTTTTTAACATTGATATAACAGTCTAAATTATTATATTATCAAGTATGGTAGTACGATTAATAAGTTGGCACACTACAATACAGAATTATTTATATATAGTGATTAATGGGATAAAACTACAGGATGTCCTAAAATGGTATGCCCAAGTGAAGTATAAATCTTAGAAGCAATTAATTTCTAACAACGTGCTCTGCAATATAAAGAACACATTCTATCAAACCTTGATATTTTAAAAACACACTGTAGATTAACCACATAGATCATTTTAAATACTATAAAATGTTAAATTGATACGGGGCTAGTAACAAATATTATATGTATATTCAATAAAACAGATAAGGGAAGATATAAAAACCTGTAATCGTTATAATTTCAATTACTCCAAACAAAAATTATTATATTATTTTACTGAATATACATTTAAAATTTTAACATACTATACTATAATTCAAAAATTGCAACAATTTTACTAGAGATACATAGTATCAACTTATTAATTTAAAATTATCGAGTACAGTAAAACCACAATCCTTTCAAAGCTTTTTACATCCTTCAATATGAAGTTATTTCCCTATTATTAAGAAACTAATGGTGTATATTTCGATTAAAATGTTATTCCGCAATACAAAAAAAAAGAGATGATTTTTAAGTATACTATTTCATTGTTAATAAATGCTTACTGATATTTTTAGATATATCCAAGAATATAGAAGCAGATCTTTTTCGCAAACTTCTTTATTGATTAAAATATTTGATTTTGCATTTAATTTCCAATAAAACAGATAGTGAATAATGAGTATCTAAATACTGTAGTAGTGGTGTTTGATGTTTATATATTGTATTAAATTAAAATTGTAAATACAATATTGGAATATGATATAGAGGGTTTCCTGCCAAAAGGACTTATCCACAAAAGTGCCATTTTGACTTTATGAGCTAACTTTGATACCCAATACCATAAGTCTGTTGCGACAAAAGGTCGTATCTACCTACCACACCAATAATAACAGCGCCACACAATCCTTTTCTTGGTCGTATGAACAATTATTACTTCGATTAACCTGGCAGAAGGTTGTATGTATACGTCCCTATGTAATGAAACTCCAGGTCGTATGAACATATGGCTTTCTGGCATGACAAAATTTCATGGCATTCACGAGTATGCGTTGAGTTAGTTGACGTTCATAACCTCACTTTTTCTGTTGTGTTTACATACGACTACTCTTCAGTTACAAGGTAAAGTACTTAGTCAAGTTTGTACCTGTTGTTCTTAAATAATTCGCTAAGCAGATAATAATATGCGATAAATATACTAATCAACAATTAGGTAAGGTAATAAACAAACTCTTAAATTTTACTACTGATTTTTTAAACGTTTTTATTAGGTCCTGAAAAATAATGTTTTGGTTGATACGTCCTTCTGGCAGGAAACCCTAGATATACTTTGGAAAAAAATATATTTTTTTCCAAATCCCCAAAATTAAGTTAATAATTGTGTTTGACACCACTGATGTAGCTGTTGCTTTGTATACTTGTTAGGTACAGAATTTATGCATTTTAATATTAAAAAAATACGATATTTATATCCAACATACTGCTGAATATACCAAACTTAAAACACAGTTTTCACCTCACCAAATTATAAATGATCATTTTGTTTCTTATAGAATAGAATTAAGTAAGAACGGAATAACTTGAATATGCTGTTTATTTAAACCAGGTGTGCCTAACCTATCTATCAGAATCGATAAAAAATGTTTGTGTCCAAGATCCTTAAATCACACCACATGGATACACAAAGATTGCAATAAAGTTAAATATAGAAATTATGCACAGCCATTTTGGCCCTTATATTTCCAGTTTTTGTCAAATAAGCAACTTCATATATTTCTTCTACTAGTTATGGATAGGTTGACTACATCTAGTTTAAACTATTTTTGCATTTCGTACGTAATAAACAACAAACTGGCAATAACATGTACTATTTCTCTTAAAGCTCTCAAAAATTCAACTTGATGTGTATAAAACATAGTATAAGGAAATGTGATAAAGTAACAATAAATTTATTCCAGCTGCATTTGCACATTTGGAAGCCCCAAACCCATCAACATTATAAAGTCCTAGGCCCAAGATCATTCAAGAATTTCGATAATTTTGTCCCTCTCCATCAGTACACATAATAAATGAAAGAAAATAATTTGCACTAAAATTAATCTGAAACAGTGCAGTCAAAAATTTCAAATAAATTGCTCAGGATTACTTGCAGGGCAATATTTGTTTTAAAGGAGTTACTTGTTATTCACACTATCACGTGACATTGCGAACAGCTATCAACCAACTGAACTTCATCTACAACCACATATTTGCATATAAAATTTGGATTCTAACAGCTTACAAACAGCAAAATTTATGGGCAAGCTTCCACTTATCCGATAGCTTTCAGAACCAATGGTTATGCCTTCAGTTATACTAAATTTAGGATATTAACAAATAAAAAACTTAATACTCTAGCATTACCACCTACAACTACAAAACCTCACATCTGACACTATTTTGTTTAGTGACTTCTCGTTATTTGTGATATTTTTAACTCTAATTTTAAATAACACAATTCGACACCACGTTGTCCACACTAAGGCAACAATCTTGTATCAACCGTATTTGATAACATTAAGTGATGGTGCCTTCTAAATTCCACACGTTGACAACATTCCATAAAAGAAAAATGAAATACGTCATTTGCATTGTTTTAAAAAAATAATTGACATTATTTCATCAAAAAAAAGAGATTCATCATTTGTATTATTTCTTATTAGTATGTAAAAGTTTTATTTAAAATATTAGAGAAAGAAAGAGAAATTTCCATTTACATTGGAACGAGTGTGCGAGTACAGAAATAAAATAATAAGAAACGTTAGAAACGTGAAAAACAATTGGGAGGTTTGTTTTTTCTGTCTTGTCATTATTATGATTAAAATTGTCACTTCTTGTAAGACGTTAATTAAAAATTAAAAATCAAACACAAACAATATGTTTTCATAAATAAACATAATGTTTATATTTTTATTTAGTTTAATTAATTATTATATTTCCACAAGTAGTATTTTTATGTATCAATTAATAATAATAATAATATCTCTACTCCTCATTCTAACTACGAGAATTAGCCCATAAGTCGGAGAATTGTGCGGGAGAGGAGGCGGCATATTATTATTACGCAGGCCGCATTTGCGCCCAGGAACTACTTATGTTGGTAGGCCCAAACATTCAGTGCAGGAATGAGGGAAACCTGGAAAACCTCATTAATTAGGGGGATGGTCAAATGCCAACCGGTGTCAATCTCACATTGACCCAAGCCAACATTCTTTCACCCTACCATACCTGCACAGAGGGTGCCAATCCTCCGTACAAGCATAGCTAATCTACGGTCTACCAGCCGCGGGATTCGAAATAGCACACATCGATTTAAGTACTGACGCCTTAAACCGTGCGGCTATCGACCGCAGCAATTGCTATTTTACAATTTTCTAAAGATTCTACATGCATTAGTTTTTGCTTTAAAGCTTCATTTTACATAAGAAAAATGAAAGGAAAAATAACGAGAGGGTGTAGCAAAAGGCTGTTTTTGTGGCAACTCCGTTTTAAAATGTATAGTTCATACTCAAGTTCGAAAGACTAACTAAATGTTAAATACTGTTTATTTTATTTGTAATTAAATTTATAATATGTTCTTTAGTTACGAGGTAATACAAATTTTACATCTATTTAATTTCAATGAAATTTTAATATGTAAATCCATATCGTTAAGGATTTATTGCTTTACGGAGTAATACATTAAATTTGTCACTAAGAGTGGATGCCTTATTAATCTAGGTGGTAATGGCTCTAGTCTGAGTGAAGTTTGAGCATAACTGCATTTCATTTGTTATCTCTGTGAAATCGACATATAGGAATTTTTCGCGAATTCCCGTTCATAACCATCAGAATCTTAGCGGTTCATCCCCTCCTTGTTACTGAACAGAAATTTTTTACTCTTGTTTGCGGTAACCCGATAACCGGTTGTTTGTTTTTCATTTTCATGTTGCTTTTCCTCGAACTTTTCGGAATTTTTTTTTATTTTTATTTTTTTATAGCTCTGAGGAAATTGGGAACAATTTCATAAGGAAGCAATATCGCCGAAAATTTTATATAAGTATTTAGAGAACAACTTACCCGTCATGTAATTGACCAACACATTTGGTAGGATAGAAACCATACCAAGAACATGTATTTTTCCAGTTATTTCGCATGAAGAAACATTTCATAAACTGTTGAAAACAGTAATAGAAAATGATACTGCATGTTTGATTAATCTATTCAACAAAACATTAGCTGTTGGCAGATCTGTAAGGACTGTAAGTCTCCTAAATAATTCAAAGTAATTTGAACGATTTACTTTACTTTAACCTTACTTTCACTCTATCGCAATAACCGCTAGTAACACACCACTAGACACCGGTAAGAAAATCAGTTCCTGTTTTATAGGTACTGACGTCATAAGAGTAGCTTATTCTTGAATTTTCCCTATTCCCGTTATTACGCGAAAATGCACCTGTAACTGATTTCTTGTTACCGTTGATCAAATGGGAACTCGCGAAAAATTCCTAATTTCTAATTTCTGTCTATTCGAAATAAAAATAATTCTATCCCTGTTGGTGCCACAAAACGTTTGTACAACACATTTTCCTCCACGTACCTGTATTCCAATACCTTTTTGTTATTGTTACAAGCAAATCATACAAAATTTAATATTACTGCGTATCTCTAATGGTGTATAATGACTATGGTTTTCCGTTTGAAAGCAGCACCATCTAGTGGCTTTTCATTTTCGTAAATTATATTTTTGAAGAACTCAACTGTACGTATACCGTTTTTCATTTAAGCCACAAATTAATTAAATTTATGTACAGGTTAACTCAAATTTTGATTTAGATAGTGTTAGCAAGTTGGATTAATTTTGTTAACCTTAAAAAAAACATCTAAAAAAAAGCCACACAAAAAACATTATAAATTGCAAACTCTGAAGTTAATAGAATTATTAATTTTGGTGCAAAAAATGTTATACCCGCCTCAAATACGATCCCTTCCTTTGGTGAAATTACACATAAAATGTTACATTGATATAAAGTATTTATAAGATAAGCAAAGTTAGTTCTTTTGTTGTTCACGTTTCAATGCAACTCCTCGAAATAACTGTTACTAGCCCATACAATTTCAGATCTGTTTCTGAAAACTCCCGATCTCCAAAAAAATTGCAAATCAACTGAACTCTAAAGGAAAGACGAATGACCAAAAACGAATATTGGAAGTAGATCAATTTGATTTTTTAAACCAAAAATGAAGACTTTTGATAATTTGCTCTAGGACATCCCAAAACTGCTCAAAATGGAACTCCCAAAATTGCTATAAATTTTATAATTACCATTTTAAACATGTTAGTATAATAAATTGTCACTTAAAAAGAATTGTCTCAGTTCCAAATTTGCTGACAGAGGGTGCTAGTACCAATTGTCTCACTCTCATATTGTGGTTCGAGTATAGATCATTAAATTCTATTTGCAGACAAAAGCATCAATGTTGAGATTATTTGATAATTTTAATTGGAATGACTCACATGCCGTCTATTACCTTGATGCAACAAACTGGCACTAAACTAATTTTATTATTACTTTATCCTAAATTTCCATTATTTTTTATTAAACAAAATCGCCATTTTATAAAAATTATAAATAACAAGACCAGCTTAAGTTATTTATATTTTTCCCGCAACTATAATAATATTTCAGTTAAGGGTTCTATGAATTTTAAGACTGTTTCGTAATCATCTGGTAAATGTTCATCGCAGCTTCATATACTTTATTAAGTACCTAAGAAAATCAGATTTACTCACGTCAATAATTTCTAACATTATTTATAAAAAAGTCTCAAAACTCATACTTTTTTTTCAACGTCAATAAGTAATCATTCCTTTACTTACACTTACATTTCGAATAATTCACGTCTTTTTATGTCTTCGGAAACATCGATAAAATCGCAGCGCATATTTTTTGCGGATTCGTTTCATCCGGGTACATCTGCATGGCCTGGGTAACCTGTTCTTCAGGAAATATGGCTGCTAAATGATAGTGGAGTTTTCTTCGAGCATCCTCCTGGGCAGTAGGACTTGCAAGATGTGGTACGCTGCCTTGAGACCATGTAGGGGGCCACACGTTTAACTGAGAATCCGAACAACTCGATATTCTTTGCATGTGTCTGAAATAGATCATAAATATATAATATAAACATGGTGCATGGAAAGTATGAGTAAAAAATTGTGGGGGTTATTACAGTTATACAGGGTGCGGTACCAAAATCCGGACAAAATTCAGTTTGAAATTCCTGCTGTTTTATATCACATGAACAGGTCGCGATTAGGGCTGGCAACTGAAATCAGTTTTTTAGATAGTCAGTTAACCGGTTTCAGATAATTTGGATTGTTACGAAACCCAAAAACTTGTTATTCGATTATTCAAATAACCGAATATTCGATCTGTTCATTCAAACACCCGAATAATTGGATTCTTCATAGCCAACATAACGCTATAATATAGTCTTAGTGTTATGTAGTTATTGACATTGGCTGCATAGTAGATACCCACTACAAAAATAAGGTTTTGGCCATTATTCGAGTAACCGGTTATTGGGTTATTCAAATAACCACTGTTTGGCTAATCGGTTTTATCTGAAATCGGTTTTTACAGAACTCGGTTAGTCGGTTTCACTTTATTCCGGTTTTTGCCAGCACTAGTCGCGATTGGCATTGAAATAGCTTGAAGTATGTACTAAACAGTCATAACCTCAAAATAATCCCAATGTTGAACTATGGAGTGTAGACAAGGAATGAAGAAAAGTTAAAAAAAGGGAAGCCATTTCTTGGGTCACATAAAGGCGGCACTGATGTAAGCAAGTAGAGTTTGAACAATATGGGCGACGTAAGTGCAACTTCGTTAACAGACTCCCCAGCACACCAGCGCTACAGCGGCGACTCTTTAAAGTTTAATTTGGGTCAGAAAACTTGATCCGAAATTTGTATGCATGGACTATAAGAGTCTTTACTTCTTGTCTACACTCCATAGTTAAAACGTTAAAACCAAGTGCGGAGTATAACCAAAGAGCCACGATTGTCGAAAGTGTTTGCGTTGGGCATTCGGCGATAAAAGTTATTCAGTCCAAGTCAATAGCATTAATAATTTCTGAGAAAGAGAATTAAAATTAATCTACCTGCAGTACAAAGGAAGCTGCATTTGAACACAAAAAAACACATATTTTATAAGATTGGAAGCATTAAAACCTACCTCATAGTTTTAGTAGAAAACTGATGGCAAAATATTGACCCAAAACATTAAATATGTTTTTTTTTTCAAAAATACTTAATGTTATTGACTTGGAAGAATATGACCTTTTTTACAACTTTTTTTTAATGAGCTTTGAAATTGTCATTTAATTTTTATATTTTTAAAAAAGCGCCTATAAAAATTATGATCAGTTTTCTAGTCTATAATAAAGCAAGGCACTCACGACAGACAATTGGCGCTGATTAATTTTTAGGTAAATAACCGTGTCTGCACATTTTTGATAAACCATACGATCATTTCATTTATCAATAAATTAAGTCAGTCACCAACTTTCTGCCAAGTGTGCTGCTAATAATCCTCCAAATTTTGAAAATTTTTTTCTTACATTTAGTTTCTTTGAGGTTATGTAACTCTGCTGATACTGAGTTTTTAAGTGTCATAGGTACAATCGCCCCTTAAACTTTTTTCTCATAGTTTCTGGATACAGGGTATTCATATACAGAGTGATTCTTAGGGAATAATTCTACACATGAAAACAAATGAGTCATAAGCCATTCAAGATGACCGTTGACAGTGAGTTTTTGTTTCATATCAATAGAACCACTTTATATACGAGACATAAATTTTAGCATATTCATTTGTACTGTAAATAAAAGCTATTTTTTGAAACATGCGGTCATTTTCGATTTGAATCTAATTAGGCACTGAATAAAAATTGTAAGAGATAATTTAAACAAAGCGTCACATTAAAAATATTAAATTAAATAATCTCGTCTGCCCCGTAACGTCCAGTTATTGAAAATAATTGCTTATTTCAAAAAATAGCATTAATTGATGGTAATTTATGTACTAAAATTCATACTAATTCTAAAGAATAAAACAAAAACCCATTGAATGATATGGTTATCTTTAAATGACCATAGCTTCCTTATGACTCATTTAGGACCCATGTTCATATAAACTTTTTTCCGTGTTTTCAAATCTTAAACCATTCCCCAAATTTATGCATATAAGTTTAAAATTGCCCTGTATGTTTTTACAGTGAATTAACTACTTCAAAAATTTTTTTCTTTTACTTTACCTATGCTGCGGATGTTGCTGAGGTGGCCAGGGTCTGTAAGAGTCTGGTGCAGATGCTATTCTGGTTACATGTTGATGCATATCCCAACTCGGATGCGCAATATAACCACTAGCAGGTGTAGTCAAAGTCATCTGACTACTTTGCGTACTGGATATAGGTGGGGCGTAACGTCTAGCCAGTCTAGGATCGGAGCTTGGATTTAGAGTTAACTGTCTCTGAAGTTTTTTGTGTAGGTTTTCCGTAGACTGAATGTGTTGGTAAGAACTACCGACGTTATCGACACTTCGGCTTTTAGACACAACTGCATGCTGAGATTCCTTAGGCGGGGGTACGTTAGATCTGGTTCGACCTAGTGGAGTCTTCCTGATGTCCTATATTAATTATAAATAGAGAGTTAACCCACATTATTTTCTATCAAGTGCTGTATCAAACGAGTAAATTTTGTAAAAATGTTCGTAAAAAACTAGATAATACCAGAAACAACAAAGTTTAACGTTACTTTTTTGGTATAGAACTACATTTGCATATTTTTTCATTAAAATGGGTCACATTCATATTGAGACAAGTTGTTACAAAGAATTAAAAAATTGATTACATGTACGCTGATAAACCGATTACAGACTCTATTCCAAGACTGAGGTTAAGTATTGATTTTCATGCCAACACAGAGTTTGAATTCTAATCGTCGACTTCGTAATACTAGTATGTCAAAGCATCCAAATTGCGATAAAGGATTCGGTAATTATTAACTTCATTGCCATAACAAACCTAAAGTCCCTAGATTGAGAAAGTACTGCAATCGCCCACCATTTTGAGGCAAATTTCGTGTTACCAATTTGAAATATAAACTTCAATTTATTTTATGTATAAAATATAATTTAATGCAAGATAAGTGGTTAAGAGATATTCATTAAATATTACAAGCTACGGTTTTAGTTAAAAAGATAAAGGACGACTCTTTTCCTTAAAATAGTCATAATAAACCAAATTAAAAAGATATGACAATTACAAAAATAAGCTAATGTTATTTTTTCTAATAATCATGATTTTTTTATGATTACTTTTACAAATTTTTAAACATTAAAATTTCAGCAGAGGATATTAAAGAAAGTTAAATACCTGCAAATGTCTCTGGGCGTGTTCGGATAAGCGTTCCGTAACACTTTTATGAGGTAATGGTCCTCTCTCCGGATGATGATACTTGCATTTATTCCCATAGGTACACTTCTTCGCATACGGACAGGGTGGTGGGGGATCACCTTTTTTAGGCTGAATTCTAAGAAAATTATCCAACGTAGGACCAGATCTACCTAACGGATCATCAGGGGGCATAAAGTGATCATTCACAAACGAGTACATTAGTATCCTTTCTTCCACAACCTTACGATATTCGGCATTTTCTTGACACAAATCCCTATAATTGTCGTTACTAACTACAATACCGTCATTCTGGGCTGCAAGTTTTAAGATATATCTATCATCGTAACACACCATTCTTTTTCCCCCAACATGTCGGGAGGGGGTGAAAACTAACAGTCTTTCTGTTTCTAATTCGGCTAGAATATGTTGGTCGCGAATGAGGTTGTCAGGACGTGGCGCTTCTTTCCTCCATTTCGGTACAAAGACTGTGATAGTCTTGTGACCTCTAGCTTTGAACCAGTCCACGCAGATCTTGATACCACGGCAGGAAAAGATTTCTTTGTTTCCATGACTGAAATTACATTTTGGGTTCAATTTCACTATATATATTCACAACTTATCCAAAAAAATTTGGGATTAAATGTCTCATGAAAAATGGAGGCGATTCCGAATACTGAAATCCGATGTTACCATTTATGTTTTTGCGATAGTGTTTACATTAGTTTTTCCAGTGTCAAAATTGATATTTTTATACATTATCTTAATAGTAGTTTTTTTTTGAAAATTTTAATTTAGGGATTTTGATTTGATTTAGGCTTATGGGGAAAAAATTTAAGAGATAGTCTAACAAAAAAAAAAATACATTTGTGTCCACATATGGAGGTGTTAATACATAGTTATAAACCTATTCTCCTCCACTCTCTTCGCAAAAAATGTCACGGCATAGAAAAAAGTTCTATACGATTTTAATAGTGTTTTAAAAACAACAAAGTTATAAATAATCATTTTTTAAAATACAACTTTGACCCTATGTGTTTTGAAAAAAGAAACGCCTAAATTAAAAATGACACAAGGAAAGTCCTGTGTTTTTTACCCGAAGAATATGTATATAAAAGAATTTAAAAAATGATAATAAAAAAAATCATTGTAAACACAATAATACACACTTACCTCATAGCAACATTACTGCCATCTATCACTATTGGACGTAATGATTGGGTTCCCTCGAGAGCTTCCAAATGAAAATCGGCAACGTCAAGAGTACTTTCCGTGGGGCTGCTATCACACGAACTGCCCTTTTGGGCACCCAGTTTTATGAGCTCAGCCAGGAGCTCATTCTGAGTAGGGGAAGGGCCTAACTTCTGTAAGGCGGCCTGCACTAATTTCTCTGTATAACCTAATTTAAGGGCGAATTCTACCCTAGAAAGAAATTACAATGCATTGGTCATACATATTTGAAAGTAACAAAAATCATCGGGGAGTTATTCGTTGATTGTAAATTGATTGTTACTTTGAATTTATCCGCATTACTCACATTTAACAATGAACAAGGAAAATTCTCCTTAACTACTTATTAAATAGTTGTGGTTGATATTTCTATGCCACAGAACATCCTGTTATTTTTTGACAATGGAATTCCCTAAACTAACCTGCTAGTTTTAGGCGATAAAAAAATAATCGATAAATGTTTCACAATGGCAGGATAAAAACGATGTAGCATATTTAAGAACATTTTCTATATAATTATTTGCTCTTGGAACCCTTATTTGTGAGAGGCGTTAAACTTTCCAAAAAAATTAGAAATATTCCAAATATATTTTTTGATATCATACGTAAAATCATTTAAACAATTCTATGTATCTTTATTTAAACATATCAAAATTTGTACTAAATGGTAAAAGCTATACCTACAAAGTCAAAAGATCATTTTTTTATCATTAAAATTATATTAAAAATAAAGAAAAAATATGCATATGCCATTAATTTGGGTTGAGACTTAATTTTTTAATGATTCCCATTTTATTAATTTATCGTCTATCGTGGACATAAAATTTCATTTATTTAAAAAATATTCTAATATCTTTTTAAAAATTTAAACACCCTTTATAACAAAAACGAACGTTAAAGCAAATGCTTATATAAGAAAATATTAAATTTTGATGGATTTCAAATTACATAAAGAATGAATGATTGAATATGTTTGTTTTTTATAAATAAATCTGTATTATTTGATATTTTCAGATTTCTATACTGATTTTTAATAAGTAAAGAATAAGTACCTCGAGATTTAAAAGGTCGATGTAAAATAGCAAAGCAATAGAGTCATATATGAAGAACAACTTGGATTAATAACCATCTCTCAAATTATATGCTTTCCGTAGCACAATTCAAGTCTCAAGCGAAATTTGTCGCCCTATATTCTCATTTACGACTTACCATTTACTATACTACTATGCAAAATCAAGGACAAAAATAATAATTAAATACTGATTATGGATCAATGAACTAAGATTACTTTCATTCAACTTTCATATTGCACTGGATTTGCAGTAGAAGAAATAATTGTAAAATAGATAATTTATCTAATTAAATTGTTAAGAGCCTTTAAATTTGCAACTATGTATTTTTATTCAATAATTTTTTATAAAATGGACAATACGATTCAGAAATTTAAATCTTTTGGATTAAAAATTAAGCCGTCATTACTACTGCTTCGTTCAAGGATCAATATTTGAGACAAAATAAATTTGTTTCAATCACTGATGCAATGTAACTTACGAACCTGGCTGTGTATCCTGGAGATATTTCAGATGACGACTGAACGTATTCAGCGTACTCTGCTGCAAGAGTGTCACTAGTTGTTCGAGAGACATCCTGATGTCCTGTAGGTGGATCAACCTCAAAATCGGAATCGTAACTGGAGTCCTCACCCCCCACAGCCCCTCCGCATCCCTCACCACAAATATCGTCTACATAATTCTGCAAGAAAAAAATACATATTAATATAAATTTTATTTACCAATTATAATACATTGTGCAACTCGTTCGGAAAAGTTGCCAATAGCGCCACGCAGACGCAGTTGACGCACGAGCGAAGCGAGTGCGAAAAGCGCCCAAGTGGCGCTATGGCAACTTTTCCGAACGAGTTGCACATACTATTTTCTATCACAAGTGCGAGTTGTTATGGGACCTATAGCATAGGGGGTTATTATAATATCAGCTGACTTACAGTTTTTAATAAAGTATAAAATTTAACTAAATTAAACCTAACCTTACCTAAGCTGACTTAATTTCATATTAGTAGCTTTTTGAAATATTTGAAAATCTGTACAAACATATGGGGTGGTAAATAAGGTACAGATCTTAAACAAATAACACGCTGTATATAATATCTCTACCCCTCATTCTAATCGCAAGGATTAGTGTGGGAGAGGGCGCGGTATATTATTCTTCAGTAGGCCGCATGTGCAACATTTTACCTGTTCTAGTAATACATTACATCCAAATAAATAAATACGCATACTAAGTTTATCTGATCTTACGTTTTCCACATATTTTGCTGACATTCAGTCATTCTAGAGATACTTAGTGGAAAGAATTTTGAAATCGCGCCACCTTATCGCCACGCCACTGTTCACATAGTGATGGTTACTACCAAAACATAAATCTGCGATGCAGACATTATTTAAATAAAGACGTTTTCAAAATGCCCTTCTTATTTCACGTTTGTCTCCTCTTAATTTTCTTCATTCTCAGCAAGATCGTACCTCCCCAGAGAAGGTTCCCTAGTAGCACAATCGTGTGCAATTCTAATACAAGTTGTTTCAAGTTTACTTGAAATAGCCAAATTGTGTCAGATTGTTTTGTGTCTATTGCTGAAATTTATATCGTTTCTTATGCAAGATACTTTTACAATACTTGCACCAGACTTAACCAAAAGTACTTGAGTCCAAAGGGGTGAATTAGTATAAGTCAAGTACAATATGTCTTACTTAATTCTAATGTAAGTCTGCAACATAGTCACTTGCTTTAATTTACCCCTTTGTGCTCAAGTGCCCTGAATCAAATCCATTGAAAGCTTTGATCAAGACAATTGTACAATTAAATCTTGCAGTAAACCTGATGCTGATTTCAGGGGTAGGTACACAGCAGTCTTGTATATGTGTCTTGTGCAAGATTTTGCTACCAGGGTTAAGGCTGTTCCTGGAGGTGGAAACAAGCATTTTATGTCTTATTTAATTGTATATACTTATACAGTTTAATACAACGATAATCTCTTTTTTGTCTACTACTACTGGGCAATCTTCTGAATACGCTTCAATAATTACGTTCTAGAGTTTGAAGCTTCTGCGTATCTAAATCTCACCTGTGCCACCACAAATAAAAAATCTAGAGAATCACGATCGGGAGATCTAGGTCTAGGTTTTTTAAGTTTTTATAGTCTGGAACAAATAAAGATCGATCTATAAGGAGCACATTGTATAAAAACATAGGTATTTATTTTATGCTAAAATTGAATATGTATTTGTAGGGGGATGATATCAAGTTTAATAATTTTGTCAAAGCAGTACTCTTTGTCTAAAAGCACAAATTTTGTACAAAATTCACAAGCTTCGCAAACATACAAAACAAGCATCACAAAAAACAACATTAATGACACGTGTCTTGGACAAACATAAATCAGCTGATGAATGTCGCACGACATGCTGACGGATAAAGATATTTTTCTACATACATACCAAACTAGAATTTTTATCACTTGTAGCGAAAATATCTACGTTACAAATTATATAAAAAAATCAATTAATAAATCGTAATTTGCAAAACACTATCTTTATAAATAACTAATTATAAACAAAATAGTCGGTGTTTAAAAACTGTATACAAAATTAGATACATATTTCATAAACATTTTTATAATTATAACTCAATGTCACAGTCTGTTACTGAATGAGACAGGTTTAGGCCACATTCAACTTTAGTAATGGTTTTAATAAAAAATAACACATTCATAATTTACTTGCAAACATTGAACAAATTATTTTATGTGTGTGACGTAATTTCATTCATTGTTCTTTGACAACCAAGAGCCAATTAATTTCAATTGTCCCAATAAAAAAATTTAAAAGCATGTTTCTATTCGTATCTACAGACTTCCCAATACGTAAATCAGTTATACAAAGTGATACATAAAAAATTTCTAAACAATACAAAATTTCACTCATATAAAGAAATGATAACACATATTTTCAACTTTCGGTTAAAGCATATTAATGGGGAAACAAATACCAAGTGTCTAAATGATTTATTTAGTGCAAAAATCCAATGACGCATTGTTCGTCAATAATTTAACGATTTACGGAATTTCCAAAGGGTGTGGCTGTTTTAGAAAAATTCGCAATGACGTCGTGAAAATCGTCATGGTATTGTGGAGTTTCAATGAAATTGGAACTACTGTTTTAGACTGCAGGGTATTTAGCTATAATCCGCGTAAAGCCTGAAGTCGTCAATATATTCTATGGTAAAAATTAATGAGGGCCTCATTTTCTAGATATATGGTATTGAAGTTCAAAAAATTTAAACTACTGTGGAATTCGATTATAACGACATTCAAAAGATAATGTCGCACTAAACAGGCGATATAATAAGCAAAATAATTATACAGGGTCTCTGATATGTATGGAAACGGTCGATTATCTCCTAAAGTAAGATAGCTATGCTATAGAAAAATCATAAGACACAAATGTTTTAGATTCTTCTAGAAATTCTAAACAAAATTCATATAGCATATCATGTACCTAAACTTAACCGTTTTCGAGATATCGATCTTTGAAAATCATTTTCTTATAAAATATACAAAAATATTTTAGTTCATTAAGTTTATAGTCCATCAAGCTACGTATGAAAGTTTCTAGCTTCATAAGAACGGCAGTGTTCTTTTCAATATGGTTTCAACATGATGGGACTCCTCCATATTTTGGACGTGTGGTACGGACATATTTATATGAAACTTTTCCTGATAAATGGATTGGACGCAGAGGGGAGATTGGATAGCCAGCCCGTCTCCCGATATGATCCCACTTGACTTTTTTCTGTGGATCACATAAAAAATGTAGTCTACAAAAATGGGCCGCAAATTATCGAACAGTTGCAGGAAAGAATAAGGCATTAAATTTCCATTATTCCTCCCAACATCATTAGATTCACTACAAAATTTTGTTCAGCAAATTCATTACTGTCAGGAGGTAAATGGTGAATACTTTGAGCACCTTATAAAATAGAATTGCAAAGAAAATATTTGTTGTTTATTAAAATTTATTTTCTCTTTTTTTATTTTGACAACTATTATTTTCATAAAATTTAAAATATCTAGGACATTTATTAAAAAATACAATTTTTGGTTTCATGCATTTTTATCAACTCTGAACTATTATGCTTTTTTATTGTCTGTAGAAAAAAAAATAAAATTAAATCATATCTATATCTTCCACCTTGTGCGATTTTCAAAATAAATACCTATTCATAATTTGGGTCCCATTTTCTTTTATTTTGAGAGTAGTAAAGTTACATTCAAAGTTCGATATCTTGAAAACGGTTATATTTAGGTACCTACATGATGTGCTATACGAATTTTGTTTAGAAAAAAAACATTTCGAATTTCTAAGATATGCTCGAAAATAGTTTTAATTTTTTTAACACTTCATTTCGGAAATGATGCACTTTCAGACAAAATCTTATTTAAACTACCGCCTTTAATTTTGTCGTAGAATATATTGAAATTATTTGGCCGATTCATAACCGAACATCCTGTATATTCGTAGCAAAAAAAGACAAGGCACAACTAATAACAAAAGTAGGTTGCCCCCTTTCAGCATAGCCATGATTAAAAGTGTTAAAACTGTTAATGCTTACTTCAAAAAGTAGGTTTTGTTGATTTTATAGTTTTAATAGGGTAGTCTTAGACATCTAAAATGCATCTTCATTGTCTTCCAAGAAAAATCAGTAAAATAGAAATACCCAGTTTACTTATATCAATTACATAAGTAATACATCACACACTGCAAATATCATTATAAAGTGTGGATACATGTATCTTAGAAAATTATCTACGAATTTAAATTATATACAGGCAGTCCTAAATTGTATAGGTCAAACGTTATGAACTCTTCAAAATAAGAAAAAGTTCCTCCAGAGCATTGAACATCCCCATAAACCCCACATAACAGAATTTCAGTTCATTCGGTCGAATTTTGTGGAAGATTCTAAAAAATTATTTTCAACGCTCTGTATCTTGAAAACGGAAAAAGATACGCCCATGGTTCAGAGGAACAAATCGTAATATTTTTTGAAATTCTATCAGGTCCTGAATTTATGCTAGTGTTTTTCAGAACAACCTGTATATCTCAAAACGCTGTATTTTACACTTTTCTATTATAAAATCTCAGAGTAAAAAAGTTCGCTTATTCCGTCTTTTTATGTCTAACTTTCCTGGACTATTTGGAATTAATATAAATGAAGTATGTTAACTTCTAAACAATGTTTGTTGTATATTCAGTATCATATCGTTTAACTAACAAAAAACCTTTAATAAAATCGAATGCCGATTAGAAGTAAGTATCAATTTAATTATGGTACATCAGATAGCCACAGAAAAGTTTATTTCGTCATGGTATCACCATGTAGGATCAATTGAACTACAGCGGCATAAATTTTATTATAAAGATTTACCACATCTTCAATTCGATCCTCATAAAATAAATAACCCCGCAAATAAATAAAACATTTACACAATCTTTTGCATGCAAACAGCTAACGTGGATATATTTGTTCACACATTTCTTCTATATTTTGTATTTTGTATGGGCATAAATGAACCTATTTCTTCAATTGAAGCTTTAAAATCACAATCAGTGGATGTCATTTTCAAAAAACCTCATAATACAGCATCACTAACTACTTAGGTAATTGTTCAAAAACAT